CTGTTTCTAGCTTTTCCAGTATTTTAAATAGCTCATCATGTCTAACTTTATCGAACGCCTTTGAATAATCTATGAAGCATAAATACAGATCTTTCTGTTCTTCAATAAGTATAATATGATTTTAAAATGATCACCTATAATTCTTTGCCTTGGCGCCCTAGCAAATTGCCTCGGTGCCCTCTGATTTTTAGGCCCCACCAAGGCAATTTTTGCCTGCCCTCCAGAACACCTAATTCAAGCCCTGTAATTGGTTGTATCCTTATCACTTATCTGACTTGCCTTATTATCCTTTTAGTTTTTCACTTATTTCCATGCTCATGCTGCTATGTGTACCATGTTGTAAACCTCCGCAGATAAAAGACTGCTGTGACCCTGCCAATCAAGAGTTTAAACAGATGCAAAGCGAAAATTGCTGGTTGTTGTTGTACTCAAACAGAAGCTCAACTGAGGAAACACCAGCCGCTGTGCCTGTTTCAGATGACTTTGCTAGCACAGAGAAAAAGAAGTTAAACCCGTATAAGAAACAAGGGTCAATCAGGAGGTAACTTTCATTTGCCATAGATGAGTGCTGACTAACTGGTTCACTTGCATGTCTGAACCCCTTCCCCCAAAAGCCTACAGGAATCATACTCCTGAGCTCAATAGGGAAAGCTGTTAGATATTCACCAACTCATGTTAAAGTATATGCGCTGGATGTGCAGAAGGGTATAATCTGTCCCCGTAGAATTATGCAATTGTGTGGCCGCGGAGCGTTTTTTTGCTCAATTCTGCAACATTTGCATAATTTAGGATTATCCGCGTTTTTTCACGTTTTTCCCTTTTATTTCACAAAACAATTGATTAACGCATCGCCATGTGACTAAAGGGAAGTAATCACCATAATAAGTTTCATTTAAGTGAAAAGCTGGTTATTTCCCTTGTTAGAAGATCTTGGTTATGGGTTGTGATTTTGTTCCTTGAGCATGTTCAATTTTTCAATCCATCAAGAGTTGTTGTTCTCATGTCTGCTGATGTTTCATGTTTGACAGGTGTCCCTGGTTTTAGTAATGTGCCTACATCAGAGGTCCAGATGTCCTTTTAAAAAAAAATTTACAAACATTTTTCTTTCCTCTATAGATCTAGAGATTATTTTTGGTTGTTTTTTTAAAATATATTTTTTTTAAACTGATGTGTATTGTTTTCTTTTCCAAATACGCAACAAATTACTGATACTGCTTGTTCTGTTTTCAATTTTTCTGTACATAAAACTTGATAATCACGAAACTTCGAGTTGAAAAAGTGCAAAACATGTCGCGAATGGTGTTACAGTAACTTGCATAATTTTTGCATAATTTTGCTTTTTGTGTGCATAATTTGGCCTTCTAAATTTGCATAATTCTACGGGGACAGTATAATAAATACCACATGCCTTCTTTGCTTAGGTCCATAGGATTGATATGGGCTATTTTACTCCGTTTTTATTTGCTATTCTTTGTAAATGGTTATCTCTTGTGAATTAAGTGAGTATAGCTAGGTAATTTATTATGTGCTTTTGCAGTAAAATGTAAATGTTTTTATGATACGGTAGTTGGGTTTGAAGCTATATTTCATGCTGGTTAAGAAATGGTATTATGAAATCAGAAGCAACTGAAATTGATTTCCTTTGCATTAAAAATATTACACATGTCAACAAAATTTTGCTAAATCCTCCAAAAGATAGTGAAGGATGATCAGGTTTTAAGTCATTTGTACATTGTATACCAAATCCCAACTGACCAACAATCAGTCATATTCTATAATTCTCTGGGTGTTCAAATACCCCAATCCCTTCATAATGGTTGAAAATAATGAGCGGGTGGGAGAGAGAAATGAAATGTGTTGCATTCATTTATCAGCAGAAGTAACTGAGCAATGGCTGATTATGTGCTCATTTGTCTTCTTGGGATGTTGCTTTAAATTAAAAATGCATGTGGATAAAAAAAATATGCCAGAAATTTCAGTAAAGTCCCGAGAGGTGACTTGACTTCTTGCCTGTAGTTTACATGACCTGTGGTCTAAACATTGGGTACTGAAGAAATTATTGACAATAGATACAGGCTTGTCATTTCTGTTTTTATGCTTGGAAAATGATTAAGAAAAGAATCTAAGGGGAACAAAATATTCCATTTAATCTATGTTAGAACTAAGAGCATGATCTTTTTAAACTGTCAAATGCTATTGCGAAATAGACAGGTTTTTCACAGTATCAGGTTTTTAAAGAATCAATTGTCAAAGTATAACAATGTTTTCCATACAAATGGCCCAGACACTTATTGACTTATAAATTTCTGCTGTTTTTAATCTTTTTTCTACAAGTTAAGTGATATGAATATCAACAAAATTGAAGAATATTTAGAGGCACTTCAGTGAAATTTTCAAACTTCTCCGAGGGCACTAAAATTTGGATTATTGAAAAGAGCTTGGCTTTCTGTTTTCAGAACTTAAAAAAAATTTTGAACTATCTTTGTTAGTTCAGAAGCAGCAACCATTTTTGTGAATCAATTTCGGCCCTGATTTGGCCAAATTTTTGCACTGCATTTTGTGCCACCAAAACTCGAAATTTTACTTCAAAACGTCATAAAATCCTTAATAATAGTTGTATCGTAACCATTGAGGTATCATTTTGTTTGTTGTTTTATGTAGAATCAATATATGAAAATAAAAGTCAAGTACATTAAGGGTAAGATTCTATTTACCGTTTAATTACGTCATAAGCGTGACGTCGGGAGTCCGATGCCTATTATCCCAAAAAAGAAACGGGCACACTTTCCATAACAATGGTCCGATTTTCAAAAGAAAAACATCACTTATTTGTTTTAAAGAGTTCTTTAACTTGTTATTGGGGGAAAATGATTAAAATTGAAAGCAGTTTCAATCTTACATGTATAACTCAAGCAGGAGGTTGATGGTGCTCTGAGGTGTGGTTTGTTCCTTTTTTCCCTATTAACAATCGACCGTCCTTATCTGTCCTCCATCGTTTCTGTGTAACACCTCTAATCTTCACGGCTTATATGACCTATTTGTGTTTCAAGTGCCGTTAAACCCATGCTAAAACTAAACTAAAAAGCATAACACAGACTTGAAGAATATATAAAAAATTCAACGACTGTGGTATAAAGCGGTAAATCACCATGGAATATGACAATTACTGAGGGTCATCAAATACACAGATATATGCACCTTGCAATGACTCATACACTGAAGAACAGCGACATCAGTTCTATGATCAACTGAGTGACCTTTTAAACACCGTGGATGACAAAGATAATGGGACAATCATAGGGTAAAGGCTGAGGGGAAACAAGGAAGACGACATGGGAGAGATACATGAGGCCACACAATGACAGAAAAACAGATCAAAACAGTAATGGAGAAATGCTATGACCTTGTCATATCAAATACCTTCTTTCTGCTCAAAAGGAGTCAGGTTAAAACTTGGTACAAATGGAATTACCTAAAGATAGCATCACAAATTGATGTTATCCCGGCCAAAAGATCGAAACTGAGAAAAATCAGAGACTCAAGAGTGGTTCCCATCTACATCACAGACACTGACCACAGACCAGTCAACATGACTACTGACAGACCAAACAGGAAAAGGCCAGAAGCAAAGAAACGACGAGAGGTCGTAAATCTCAGAAATATAAATGACAATACCAAAGATAAGATACATGAATGTTTGAAAGATAAATTTCACAAATTGCCCAAACAACTGGGAGACATTGAAGAGGAATGAAGCCACTTCAGAGCATGTGTGTACAGAGCATTAAAAGAAAGAGTGCGGAACCAGGAAAACAAGAGGGCAGAAAAAGAAAACAACTATATGGTGAAACGACCAAGTGAAGGAAGCCGTCCAACTGAAGAAAAAGGCATTCAAAAAGTGGCAGAAATCAAAGACAGAGGAAGATTACATCCTATACAGAAAGGAACGCCGCTAAACATCAAGGGTAGTAAAGGAAGCTAAGAACAGATCCTGGACAGTAGCCTATATGGAGAACAACTGGTTACAAAATGTAAAGAAGATCCTTGAGAGTTTTACTAGAGAGTTAAAAAAAGCATGAGGATGCTGGAAGAACCATTCAACCCAATTGAAATAGTCAATGATGAGAACAGAAAACCTATTTTCAGAAAGCCAAAAATTAAGGAAAGATGGAAACGCTATTTCCAGGAGCTGCTGAATCCTACAGCAGAAACTACAGCAAACAGCTTCTCACAGAAAGAAACCACTCCAAAACCATCACTACTGCTGAGTGAAACCAAACATGTTATAAAGAAAAGCCCCACAAACAAAGCAATAGGTGTTGAAAACATCACAGCAGAAGAGATCAAAATATGCTACCATATCGGAGAACTCTGGCTATGGAGGATGATATTTAACCTGGCCTGGGCGACAAAAACAACACACAGCCTACAGAAGAATATCCCTTCTCAGCCGTGTGGATATAACGTTTGCCAAGATATTGGAAATGAGAATGAGACTTATTGTAGAGATCGACTCAATGAATCCCAGTTTGGCTTCAGAAAAGGTACCGCCCCGGGGGGTAGTCTTAGAAGAATATGGTGTAAAAGGACAATTGCTGGAGAACATCATGGCACTTTATAAAAACAGCATGTGTGCCGTAAGATCAACAGAAGGACTATCAGACTGTTTCCCCTTCAGGTCTGGGGTGAGACAAAGGTGTGTTCTCTCTCCGCTTCTCTTCATCACTTACATGGATAAGCAAATGACAACATCAATGAACTGAGCTTATATTTGCTGATAAGCAGAGTACATTAAATACAGATGATGAGAAATGTAAACACCTAAACAGGAAAATCTCCATTTCAAAAACAGAAGTTATGAAGGCTAGAAAAAATCCAGGGAAACTCAACATCCTTATTGACGGAACACAACAACACGTAGAGAAATTTAAATATTTGGGAAGCATCTTCGCACTAAATTGGCGTATGGACAAAGAAAAATAAACAAGAACTATGAAGGCAAATGCAGTGACCTAACAGCTTCTCAGTCACAAGAACATCCCAACTGAAGTGAAATCCCAGCTCATCAATAGAATCTTCATACCAACATTAATTAACATATCAGTGCCAAACATGGTCTCTAAAAATAAGGCATGAGAAAGGAAAATCAATGCACGCGAAATTAGAGGAGACCGCATAAGGAACGAGAATATACATCTACCAGTAGTAAATCTATTAGAGCGCCAAAGAGTCAAATGGTTCAGACATCTAACCAGAATGCCCCAGAAACAACTAGCGGCTAGAGCTTACCACACCCGCGAATCCAGCTTTAAATCAAGAGGAAGGCCAAGAAAGACCTGACTGGATGGGGTTAAAAAGGTCCTGGAACAATATAACTAATTAACATATCTATCACAGAAGCCGAAACCTGCGCCTCCCCTCGACATCCTAAGGATACCAGAGGAAGGAAAAAGTAAAGTAAAAACTGAGGAGCAAAAGTGCTCACTTTATTGCAACTGGCATCTTTCTTCAGGGTTGTTTCATCAGTGGAAAAGAGTAATAGGCTTATACTGCTAATACCGTGAATCGTGGAAGGATGGCGGCGGTGGCAATTATAAGAGAAATAAGACGACAAGAAGGATATATAATAGAGAAAATGTATATTAAGTTGAAGAGCAGGTAGGGGGATGGAGAAGAAAATAGAGGTACGGTTATGAAAATAAGAGGGGAGTGGGAACACATGAAACCACACACACACACACGCGCGCGCACACACACACTCACACACACACACACCCAGAGAGGGAGAGAGAGAGAGGGGGGGGGGCATGCAGTGGATCCTACATTCCAGTACATAGCATTTTCGTTCTTGTTCATGCGACAGAAAAGAAAGAAAATCTGAATCAGTACTAGCAATAGATGTAAGAAAGTTTATCAAGCAAATAATTTCATCTGATACTTTAATAGGCGTCCCAATTTAATTTTGACCGTGTTAACAACACGAGTCCGGACTCTTCATACTAGATTTAGGCCCTACGCAATGAAAGGCTTTGGGCAGGGGAAAAAAAGGGGGGAGCTCAGTGAAAAGGAAACACTTGGGTCTAAAAAGTATCGTTTTCTTTATGCTATCGAATGAACTAAGGCACAATGTAAGGTCAGTGATTATAATACATTACCAAAATTGTTTAACTTTTAAAATTGAAATTTAAAAATCTCTCGGCGATGTATTTCCCTGTCTCGTACATTTCAAACAATGAACAGAGGGAGCCAAAAGCTCAAGGCGCAAAAAGTGTGACGTCAGGGCTCGGCGCGATGTCACGTTGGAAGGGTTCAGTTAGGTTTTCGCGGATTTGGTTGATAAAAGGGTAAAACTTCACTAGCCAAGGTAAGACTTCTACGATAACCATTTAAACATTTTCTATAAGAACAAAGAATGGTTTACCAACAAGGGTAGTTTGAAAAAAATATGACGAGAAATTTTATCAAAAATCAATGGTTAAAAATTGTCTATTTTTCAACTTGAAATATCTCGAGACTCATAAGCGCACATCGACCAGAAAAAAAGCGTTTTGAAGGCCATCCAAAGGTCTTTAAAAGACATGTATCGGACTTGAATGTTGATCCCCTAAATTAAACCAAAATATGGGCAGTTTGAACCCACTGTCACAATGAGACGTCATGTCCGGAAGCAAAACCCAATGGGACTTTCCGAAGCCGAATCACGCTGTTGTGAGCGCGTTCACTGAAGTGCCTACATTGAACAATGATACAGTATAATATGGATAGAAGACTCGAAATCATGCATCCGTCGAACTGTGCCTGCGGTCCCATTTCTTTTTTTTTTCTCTACCTTTGTAAGATATCCCTCGAACTACCGAGGCCGGTCCCAACGAATTCGAGCTATCCGTTTTATTTAGAAATAATGTTTTGTATTTTCGTACACTTTTTTAACAAAATGATTTCATTTGGTTTGGTTTTTGCATACTGTCTTCGTTAACTTTCAGCTGGCAAGGTGTAGTAGAAGAGACATATGCTCCAATCTTAAAGAAGCACAAAGCCCACATTGTGCTTCCAGATGAGACAGCTGTAGCTCGGCTGAGGAAAACAGAAGAAACATGGACTCTAGAGCATGATGCCGCTCTGGTCCAGCTTATGTCTCAGAATGTGCCAAAAGATTCTGAGGGACTTGGCTGTCTAAAGGAATATGTTGAGGCTCTTGGAGTGTCTACTTACTCTGTAAGTTGCTGCCAGTTTTATGCTGAATGAGTACTCTTTCTTCAGCATTGTGTCATTTTCTTCCGTCTAATTATAAAACCTCATAGAGGTGACTTCGTATATTATAATATATGATTGACAATGTTTCATTTTCAAGAAAAAAAATTGGTATTTTCAGTTATTGTATTGTATACATTTAAATTGCCTCTTTGGCTTCGAAGGTCTTTGGTTGAATTTTAAACAGACTATTAACAGTCTAATAAATGTAAGGCTGTCAGGTGTTAATGAAAAGATAAATGCATTTAATATAAGTATATATCAAGAAAAAAAGCACAAACGTTTTTATCTTTTATCTCATAGTCAAAACTGATCATAGTGCTGATAAGGTGTAACCTCTTTGTAATATCATTTACTGAGGAATGCCACAGAATTTCCCAGCTTGTATTGCAATTTTAATAGTGTCAGTGAACATGATCAAAACAATATCATGTTTCAGCCAGGAGAAGGTGAAAGCAGCCACTTGACAGACAATGATCCGAGCACATACTGGGAAACTGATGGTTCTCAAGGGCAACACTGGATAAGACTCAACATGAAAAAAGGAACAATAATCAAGTAAGTGGTGGTTGTATTTATTCTAATTGCTGGTTTTAACACTCTTGGTCAAAGTTAGTCACAAGTGAAACTGAAGGGTCAATATATTTTCATTTTTATCTACTTAAAAAAAAAAAAAAGATTTTCTGTATGTTGGTGACTTTCTGTGTATCTTTATTATAAAGATTTGGTAACAAGGTTTGTTTGTAAATTAGTTATAGTTAGAATACTAAATGCATTTCGCTTGTTTTGTGTTTTCCTCCTGAACTCTGAAAAATAAAGTCACTTGATTAAAGGAGAGAGAAATCGTTTGACAGCAGTACAAAGAGTTTGTGGCCTAGAAATAATTTTTTGTATGTGAAAATAGGCCACATGATTCTGAGTAAAACTTGCTTTTTTAAATTCTAAAACAAAAGTCAATATGAAAAGTTCAGATCAGTTCAGGACCAGAAAAACATGTTTTTATAATCACCATGGAACAAAGCATTCCTGGTATCAATCTACTTTAAAAAAAAAAAAATTCTTCTACAGAAATTGAGAGTCATTGATATATACATCAGGTTTTGAATGATCAATTTTATTTCAAAAGGTTGTTGTCAATGACTGTGGACTTGGCTGATGACAATTACCTCCCTGAAGAAATTGTAGTCCTGACTGCAGAATCGGAAAACTTCAAAGAACTGAATAACATAACAATCAACTGGTAATAAGGCTGAGTTTCTACATTATTCTTTTCTGTCATGTTATTCTTAGCCGCATATCAATAGCAAAAGTGCTCTTTGTTGACATTAATGTTGTAGAGAAGAAATAGTGCTTCTTGAGACAATGAATTGCAAGCGAGATTTCAAATCCAACTTCAAACATTTTGAAAGATCCTGTTTTCATGTCATATTTTCTCCCCCTTAAATAAGATTTACATTGATGTCTTTGAAGTATTATGTATACCATAGTGATAGAAGTAAGCCCTGCTCAAGAACACGCTTAGCAATATCCCAATTTTTTGTCTCTGCCGACTGGTGAATGAAAATGAGACATCTTCTGAGCAGAAGAATTTCCTCCAGAGGGAATCAATCATTTGTTTCAATTACTGAGCATATATGATTGTGTTTATTGCACTTTTTTGTAGTTTGATATTAAATCTAGCCCCTAAACCCCGGAATGGAAAAAATCACGACCTTCTGCGGTGTTTCTTGCCTATCCGAGTGACTCCAGAAGTTCAACCGTTCGAAGGGCTTGGTCCACAGCAATGAACTGAAGGGCTGCTCCAACAAGGAAATTGTGGCTAATTGCGACAGTGTGGTCGAAGCCCGCAGGATGACTCTTCGACAGGGGGAGACCATACTTGAAACGAATACGATAATTCTAAACTTCGATTCGTGCCACCCTCCAGCCACCGTTCGAGCATCGTACTTGGTCCTGGGCTTGCGACCCTATGTGCCAAACCCTATGTGCTGTTTTCAGTGTCAGAAGTTTGCCCATAGTCAGTCGCGATGCCGACGTGCAGCCATGTGTTCTCGCTGTGGCAAGACTGGGCTTCCTGAGAAGGAATGCAAGGCTAGACCTTGCTGCCCAAATTGCCAAGGCCAGCACACAGCCTTCAGCAAGGATTGCCCGACTTAGATCCAAGAACGCGCAATCCAAGAGTACAATGCGCGAAATGGCTGCTCTTTCTAAGAAGCCGCAAAGCTGTCTGCACGTTAATCGTGACCCCGGTTCTTGGCTGGACATATGCGAAGGTACTCCGCCCAGTTGGCTATTACCTCTACTGCCAACTTTCCACAGCCCATGGTCAACAGAGTCTCTGTAACCGAGTGAAAAAAAGTCTCTCTTCTACCCTTGTGGCACCCACCTCTGAGGTGCCACTTTCTAACCGCTTCGAGGTTCTAGGAGAGGACGGGATGGACTCTTCTTCCGCCCCCTCTTCTTCCCCTCCCCCCTCTTCTATCCCTCAATCTTCCTCCCCTTCCCCCTCTCCCCAGCCTCCTCCATCTGTTTCACCTCCCCCTACCCCTCCAGCTGACATCCCCCTACCTATGGACAAGTACAGCTCCCCCCCCCCCCCCCGGCCTGTCCCCTGGAAGGGCGGAGCCCGTCACTCCTCCAAATCCTCCACTAGGCCGCCGTCCAAACCAGGACGGCAGCTACCCCCAGTGGGTTGGGAGGATATGAATAGACCCACTGCTTCGTCTGCAGGAGGTGCAACCCCTTCTAAAGCGAGCTGTCGCACATGGACTCCAACCCTCTGGGATCCAAATGCGACACTGACTTTGGTGTTTCTTCCTCTTCTCCTTCCTTCTTTCTTTCTTCTTCTATTTTCTCTCCCACCTCTGACCTCATGTGCAGCAAAAAGAGAGGTCACCCATCCCACAGAGTGGGCGCCTCATGCGGAAGGAAACCGGATGCCCTGGGAGCTTTCCGCACTTCTCCAGTGGACAGCCTCCAGGCAGAGGCAATCATACCATCACTCACACTCATATGCACACAACTCTCACTACAATACGCAATTAAGCAAAGCTCAACACCAGCACATGACTGTATTTTCAGAACAAAACCAGGCACCATACACAAGTTCCAAAACAACGAAAACTCATCGAACCCTTGGGCTAGAGTCCTTGAGGACCTTAAAAACATACAATTTTCCGAACAAGACATCCAACAATTTCTTTTCCCCGAACTCCCTCCGTGGCACCAGGGCAAAAATAGACTTACAGCTGACCACACATACCAAAGCAAGCTCAAACACCAAAACATTTAAAGCAGAATACAAAGAACATATAGAAAAATACCCCGATGTGGAGCTAATCTTCACAGATGGCTCTAAATCGGACTCTGCTGTGGGTGCCGCTGTCCTATCCTCAAACAGTACACACCAGAAGAGGCTCCATCCCGAAGCCTCCATTTTCTCTGCGGAAGCCACTGCCATTGACATTGCACTGGACTCGGTAGAAAATTCTCCTAACAACTTTCCTTATCCTATCTGACTCTCTGTCTTGCATCACCTCACTTACAAACTAGACACTCTTACACCCAAAAATAGTTTAAATAGTTAGGTTACAACAAAAAAATACACGCTTTGGCTGAAACCGGGAAAAGTATCGTGTTGGCATTTCTACCTAGCCATGTGGGCACCCGAGGAAACGAGCAAGTGGACCTCCTGGCGAAAAAATCCTTGTCCCTTCTGTTTGGATCAAGGATGAACACTCTCCCACAGACTGACTTTAAAAATAAAGTCAAAAACTACGCCTCCAGTCTGTGGTAGACTCATTGGAAAAAACTAGATAACAATAAACTACACTCTGGGCCTCTCCAGAAGAGAAGTCATTTTTACTCGGTTACGCTTCGGACACACGTCCCTGACACACAAATACCTCTTTCAGGGGGAAGAGAAGCCGTTTTGTGACGGATGCGACACAGATTTTACCATTAGACACATTTTAATCGAATGTCTAGTCTTCGGAGAGACCTGAAGGAAATATTTTAGATGCAAAAAATTACAAGACCCGTTTTCCATCGTTGATCCCAACGCTATCCTTAATTTTTTAAAGGCCATTGGCCTTTATTGAAAAATGTGAATATCCTTGTTTAAAATTGTTAATATTATAATAAAGTCATTTTAAATTTAAAATTATATTTACATCACATTTTTTGTATTTTAGGAGAGGTGTTGATCAGAATCAGGCTGTGCACTGAACTGTTGCGAATGAAACCAACTTTTTTCGCGCGCTCATATGACCTTGTGCAGTTGCGAGCACCATAAAATTCTTACTAAACTAAACTAAATCAATTTGTCTTAAGCTTATGTAAGTTTTTTTGTTTTACAATGAAAACTAAAATCTCCTCTGCACTAATTTGGAAATTTTTTTATAACTTTATTTTCAGGAGCTCACAGTCTCCGACAGAAATAAAGCTGCTGGAAAATCTGACTGAGCACTATGCAACAATCACAATCAAGATCAAATCATGTAAATGTAGGTGAAAATAGGAGGCAGATGAAGAGCATGTCATGCTAATTTTTTACCAATTGATTTAAAAGTAAGAGAAAGATTTGTTGTTAAATAATGATTTTGTTTATTCTTCTAGGACCTATGCCTGTGTTGTGGCGGTTAGACACTTCACAATAAAATGTAGAAGACACGAGTTCAATTCCTGTGTAGGGAGGTATTTTATGGATTGTCTTTGTCTAACTACTGAGACGTTGTATCCCTCTCAGCCCAAATTGGCCCAGCGGGCGGGGTCCAAGCAGCCCACCCCCTAAATGATCTAGACTGTCAATAGGGGCGTCAAATTTATATGATTACAATGCCATATATATATGCAGTCAAAATTGTCTAAAATTGCTGGTCATTGTCAAAGTGGAAAGTGGTTATCTTGGACAGGTAGATATCTTGGTCAGATTCGTTATAATATTTTTTTAAACTTAACTCTTTCCGGACGTAGTTCTTTTGGGTCTAGACATAATTAACCTGTTGCTCGCTTTGGCTATTCTGATGGTGTACAAAATAACTTCATAGAAGCATAACCATCACTCCAAACATAACATATGATATATCAAATTGAAGGAAATTGAATGAGGAATACATCCCAATACAAGACAAGGATTAATTTTGAACATAAATTTGCATTACAAGGGTTAGAAATGGCGATGGTGACGAGAAAAATAAATTTTGACGGAAAAAATTACTTTCACCAAACATGGGAAAGCAAATCAGCATGGCTATCTTATCATATACAGTAGTCTCCGCCTAAACGCATGCCATACAAAAGCCCACTCCGCTCAAACGCACACTTTCGTCATCTGACGGGTTTTTTTACTATATAATTTAGACGTTCAAACGCACGGTCACTCCCTCTAAACGCACGCTCCGATCTGCGAAACATGCCGACAGGTAAAGCTTGACTAAAGGGAATTTTCACTGCGACTGCTGTACGATCTGCACGGCTTGGATAAGACAAGCCTAGAAAACAGGATATTTGGCGAGACTGCCCCTTACGCCGAACAAAGAGAGTGATGGACAGCATTTTCACACCCAACTTTCCACAGACACATAGGTCTAGGATTGGTCACTGGAAATGCATCTCTTTGAGAGAAGGTTTCTGACTGGTGTTTGAGTGACTGCGTGTTGGCTAACGTTTAGTTAGACCTAAGCCTATGATGCGCAACACGCATGAATGCTCGTTCATGAATTTACGGTCGGGGGTGGTCGCTTGGAAAGCCACGTGGCTGGGCTGTCGTCTCTATGACTATCACCAACAATTTCTTTTTAGGCTATTGGTTCCCGACATTTTATGGTGCATTCATTACATCGAGTCTGTGTTTCTGCCCCCCCCCCACACACACACACCCATTCAACGCCTTTGTATTCTTAACCGCAGTCGGGGAATCTTTTACAAAACAGTCACGTGTCCTCACATTATCATCCCAAAGTGACCCCCACCCCAAAGGGATGTCACTAGAATATCAAGGCAATGAGGTGACTGCGTCCCTTCCTCCCTTTGCAAAGGTTCATGTAAACGCATGCTCCGTATAAACACACGCTAAGGAGCCCTCCCGAGCACCATGCGTTTAGGCGGAGACTGCTGTACAGGCCGAGAGCATAATCCATATATTTCTGAATGCGCAACTTTTTATTTGAAAGCAATATTCCAATTTTTGTTTGAGTTATGATATTTATACTCAGTCCAGTTACATTGTTTTATTGATGCAAGACCGCAAGAACTAATTCACTCGTTTCCCCCAAACCCACACTTTGACAAAGTGAAACCAGATGATTTTGTTTCCAAAATCCTTTCCAAGTTTTTCAATAGCAATAAAAAGTAATTATAAATGATGGCTCTCTAGTGGATCACTACCTTGTTGTGGTTTGAGAGCTTGTGTGCCTCAGTGACCCCAAGAGCTACGCTGGCTGGAGCTAATGCTCCTGGTAGGGCCACCCATGCCAGACAGGTCGACGGGTAGAGTTCAGACGAAGGGTGATCCACCGGCCCTCCAGGTTTCGAAGGTTCAGCTCCGGGCTAACACCCCAGACTGGTAAAAAGCATATGTTACGGAAACAGCAACAAAGAGAAACCATATTTCTGTGTGTGATAGACCTTCAGAGTCTCTTGGGACTCGTATGAAAGCGGGCAGTGAAAGCCGCAAGGAAGCTGTTTGCAGGAAGATGGAGGACCTGAACACGGCAAAGACAAAAGTTATCATAGTATTCATAGGACTGTGGAATGTAAGGACAATGTATGAAACTGGTGAGTTGGCACAAGTAACGGCAGAGATGAGGAGATATGGATTGCACATTCTGGGCATAAGTGAAAGTCACTGGACAGGATCCGGCAGGCTGAGAACAGCAACTGGAGAAATACTGATCTATTCCGGCAGAGAAGACAACCAACATAGGGAAGGTATAGCTATCATCCTAAAAAAGGGACATGGGAAATGCCTCATGGAGTGGAAACCGATCAACAGCAGAATGATGACACTGAGACTGAAGGGAAAGTGCACCAACACAAGCATCATCCAATGTTACGCCCCTACTAACGACAGTGAAGATGAAAGCAAGGACTCTATTTTTATGAACAGCTACAGAGGGAATTGACAGGTATACCTCGTCACGACCTTATCGTTGTAATGGGCGATCTGAATGCTAAAGTAGGAGAGGACAACACCAACTATGAGAGAACGATGGGACAACATGGTACGGGTACAAGAAATGAGAACGGGGAAAGACTAGTGGACTTCTGCGCATTGAACAACTTGGTGAAAGGCAGAACCCTCTTCCCACACCGTACAATCCACAAACTGACCTGGAATTCTCCAAATGGCCGGGACAAGAACCTGATTGACCACCTTATGATAGGAGGAATGTGGAGACGTTCCCTACAGGATGTGAAAGTAAGAAGAGGAGCAGATGTCGGCAGTGATCACCATCTAGTGACGGCAAGGATAAAACTCAAGCTGAAGAAAGAAAACATTCACCAGGGAGGCAACAAGGACATGATTTAATGTTCATAAGTTCAGTGATGGCAATGTGAGATCTGCCTTCCGACTAGAACTAAAGAACCGATTTCAAGCTCTCCAAGACCTGGAAGAAACCACCCCCAATACAGATGAAGCCAATACCCAATGGAAGCATATTGTTGAGGCCTACACAGAAAGCAGTAAGACATGTCTTGGTGTCAAGAAAAAGAATGGATACAGCAAGGAACTTGGAATACTATTGAAGAACGGAGAGAAATCAAGAAAAGACAGCTTGCAGCTAAATCGATACGGCTACAGGAGAAGTATGCAGAGGATTACAAGGAAGCTTCCCAGAAAGTTAAAAGACTGGTCAGGAAGAACAAAAGAGAAGCCATGGAAAAGTTGGCGAGGCAGAGGAGGCAGCTGCTAAAGGTGAACAAGGCAACGTATACAAGATCACAAGAATAATATGTGGCAAGTACCACGGTAGAATGAGTGGACCAATCAAAGACAAGGCTGGCAAGCTGCTGACAATCGAGAAGGAACAGGAAGCACGCTGGGCAGAACACTTCAGGGAAGTCCTAAACCAACCTCCACCTGAGGACACCGCAGACATACAGAAAGCTACCTTTGATCTTGATATCAGCTCTGACCCGCCACAGAAACACGAGATTGTAAAAGCTGTTAAGAGCATGAAAACAAGAAAATCTCCAGGAATGGACAACCTGAATGCTGAATTGTAGACCCAGAACTGACTGCCACCATTCTTCAACCACTATTCAAAACCATATGGGAGGGAGAGCAGATTCCCGAGGACTGGAGCACTGGAGTCATTGTTAAAGTACCAAAGAAAGGAGCTCTTAGAGACTGCAACAACTGGAGAGGTATCACGTTGCTATCAGTTCCCAGCAAGATCCTGGCCAAGATTATTATTAATCGGATGTCGGATACAGTAGACAGCTGCTTAAGAAAAGAACAGGCAGGATTCCGCAAAGAAAGAAGATGCACAGATCAGATATTTGCCCTTCGCAACATAGTAGAACAGTGCACGGAATGGCAGAGACAACTTTATATGTCAACTTCATTGATTTTGAAAAAGCATTCGACAGTGCATAGAGAAAGTCTTTGATACATTCTACGATCTTATGGAATCCCTTGCAAGATAGTGGAGGTCATCAAGAGCTTCTACCAAAACTTGAAGTGCATTGTTGGAAACAGTACCACTGCTTTTGAGGTAAAGACAGGAGTTAGACAAGGAAGCAACGTGTCAGCAATTCTGTTCAACCTGGCCATTGACTGGGTCATGAGGAAAACAACAGAGGAAACATCAAGAGGAATAAGGTGGACCCTCTTCTCCACCCTCGAGAATCTTGACTTTGCCGACAACCTTGCACTACTCTTCCATACCGACCAGCACATTCAGGAAAAAACAAACCGACTCCACAAATACGGACGCCAGATTGGGTTATGAATAAGCCAGAGGAAGACAGAAGTGATGACACTGAATGTAGGCTCCCCAACGCTGATTAGAGTGAACAACACAGACCTGCCTATGACAGACACATTTACCTACCTAGGCAGCATAATCAAAACTGACGGCGGCGCAAAGGAAGACATCATGAACAGATTCGGCAAGGCAAGATCTGTACACAGAGGCATGATCAACATCTGGAAGTCGGGACAGTTTAGTATACAAACCAAGTTAAAGCTGTATAACAGCTGTGTACGATCCACACTCCTATATATGACGCTGAATGCTGGAGGATGACTGATCATGATCGTGCCAAGCTTTCATACAACCAGCTTACGCCAAATCCTCAGAACCATCTGGCCCGACAAGATATCCAACGCAGATCTGTTATGTAAATGTAGGCAAGAGGACATGACAACCATAATAAAAAGAGAAGGTGGAGATGGATTGGACATGTTCTGAGAAGAGAGCCAGACTCTATTGTGAAGACTGCCCTCCACTGGACACCCGAAGGATGTCGCAAAAGGGGCAGACCCAAAGTGACCTGGAGACGCACAGTAGAGTCTGAAATGAAGTCCTGGAATCATTCGTGGCTAACACTGACCAAGATGGCCCAAAGCAGACAGAGCTGGAGATCCTTTGTTGCTGCCCTAAACGCCAGATGGCGTAATGGGTAGTAAGTAAGTAAATAATAAATGATGGATCGTGTTAAAACGAAACAATACTGAAGCACCCTAATACAGCCGATGTATCAGCGATACGCCCGCAAGGGGTGTGGACTCGCGCCGATATATCGGAGATACGTTCGGAAAGAGTTAAAGAGGGAAGTGGCCGTTGGTACCCTGTGGATTGAAACTCCGCTTCATCTAGCTTTTCCCGCTACTTTCCTCCATCCTCCGCTGGACCGCTCTCGGTCGCAAATTGCAATACTTTTTTTTTTTACACGCGGAAAACATCGAACCAGGAGAGAGACGAAAACGCGGCTTACCCAGGTCCGCCTGTAGCTTTCTACTTCCATTCTTCTGTGCCTGGCACTAGTTTCGCATTGTTTATTATGGAGCGACAGTGTCATTCGAGCATTGGGACGATGGCGCGCCGAGTTGTCCTTGAAAACGGCAGAAATTCGAGAGAAGTTGATGCTGAATGCAAAAATAAAAGGAGCTGAAATGAGAAAGAAGCAGACGGTGTGTGTGACTTGAAAAGTTCATTAGAAAATTGAACAAGCCGCTTACTGCACTTTACGTTTGGTGCGATAAAGAAATCGCTCAGTACAGTGGCAAAGGTGTACAAGTTTAAAACGAAAGAAATCTTTTTATGAGACACCAGCTGGCAACAAACACTGGATTTTTAGTCACCAGACTGTCAAATTGTGCTTGTTAGTCAACTGAGTGTCTTGGGGAGTTTTTTAGGTGGTTTTTTTTTCAAATACATTTAAATTCAGTAGCTTATATGGTTAACAAATATGACAGTTTTCCCTTCCAACACCATAGGCTAGATGTTCCAATATATTGCCTCTGGATCTCATTAGTTTTACTCTGGCCTTCGGAGAGCGCGCGTACGCCTTCACGTGAATTCCCTCCTTTTTTGAATTTCTTGAGTGGCAGCTATGGTTATTCACTGGTTATTGTCTTTTATGTGCAAAGTAGTTGTGATTTTGTTGGTTAAAGTTTCTTTAATTGGAAATAATTCCATTCTGAGACTTATACTTTGAAATTCAACAAATGCTTGCAATTTCCTTTTCTTAGAAATTGAAAAAAAGTTGCCAACAATACTGGCCCCCCGGGAAATTGCGGTCTTGCGGCCACGTTTTTCGTCAAGTTCCGCATTATAAATCCGCAATTTTTTTCAACTTCGCAATTTCTCGCAATTTTAGGCAAAATAACATCAACGCTTTAATTTTAACAGAATTTTTAATTCGAAATGGTGCACGTACAGAGCCGACAGGCCTACGTAAATCATGCTTTCGGCCCAGCTCTAGTCTACTTCAACTTGGCGTACTCTTAAAGCTAAAACCGGAAATTCAGGCTGGAATACATCATGTACAACACAAACTGAGACATAGAGATCTAATGTGTGTAAGTGTAACCGTGCGCGTGTAATTGTAATAAAAGAAAGTGGGTGTGTGTGTGGTGAGCATGTGTGTGCGCGTGTAAGGTGTACATGTGTGTGTGCGCGCGCACGTGAATATTGTTCGTACATGATGCATCATGTGTCTACATATATGGTAACCGGGCACCTGGTCTCAGTATCTACGTACACGGTAACCGGAATGAAGATAAACCAATATTTGTCCTGTGCTGTCATTTGTTGAAAAAAAAAAAAGAAAGTCATGCATGTACACAAGCGTCTTGTCGGGCTCGCCATCGGGCCAGTCAGTGAACCTGTGCTTTCGCATCACATTGTGAGTACCGGTTGGGGTCACCAAAGTTCATTCAAAGTCTGTGCGCTGCGAAGTATAGGGCTCCGGAATGGGGGGATTATTGATTTTTTAAAAAGGTACAGTCGGGAGAGGGCTTGGGTTGAAGGCAACTTCAAATGACAAAAACTGAACTTTGGAGTTCTGAACTGCCCGGTTACCGTGTACGTGACACTGAGACTACGTGCCCGGTTGCCGGTTACCGTGTACGTAGACACTGAGGCTAGGTGCCCGGTTACGGTGTACGTAGACACTCCCTTCATAAATGTAAAACACCTTAAGCTGCGTTCACACGGGAGTGGTCACTATAGAAATGATCTACATTATTATTACTATTAAATGGAGAAAAAAAATTGCTGTATTTTACAATTTGACGTAGAGTTAAAAACAATACCATACTGGTTTTAAAAAAGAAAATATCTGAAATAGATTTAAATACAGATTACCGGTGTATCGAAGGTTGCAAGAGAAAAATAGAATAGGATCTGAATTGATTGGGGCATAAGCTAATTTTGCATTTAGTGGTTGTTCGAATCTCCCATCAATTTTTGTTTGTTTTTATAGAGACTAAACCTCATACTACGCTTCTAGATCTTTGCATGAACCAAGTACCCGGTATGTACTAAATTTGGTCAAATTTTATGTCTTCATTTAAAAGTTATTGCGAAAACCGAGGGTTCCGTTATTTCAAGTCACGCAGTATTATATTACATTTGGTCGATAACTTTATTGTTAACGTACTCATGTGTTGTTACTAGTAAATGTTGTTAATAAAATTTGTATTGTGGGTCATGATTTTTTAAAAGGCTGTTCTGCTTTTATGCTACGGGTACTCAAATTGTCATGTTTTTTAAACTAAAAATGTTAAGCCCGTATTAATGCGCCTGGGATGGGAAGGTTGCAATTTTTTTGCAGTTTACCTTGCAATTTTTTGCAATTTTTCTATTTCAAAAATGCAATTTTCCGCGGGGCCAGACAATAGCAAAGATCCAGGTTAAAACCCCAACACCATTGCTGTGTATCACCTGCAACCATTGGGCACATTTGACATGACAGAGTGGGTGGTTGCTGGGTGCTCTCCTGTGGTTTGCTCCTTCTTTCATAACAAACATTTATCGTCCTTATCGCTCCTCCTTTTGCTTTGTGGATATTAGTCTTGTAACACCTTTAATCTTCGGCACTTATATAAACCAATTGTGTTGCAAGTGCCATAAAATTCTGACTAAAACCAAAACTGATGACATGACAGATTAAAGAGTAACTTTGTAATATTGGGAGAATTGGGTTTTTTTAATACTTTTCATTCTTTTGTAACAGTAGCCACACTTTTTATGAAGGAATGGGTTTCTTGCTTTTGTTAAATGGACAATAACTATACAAGTTGTGTGTGTTTACAAGTATAATTTCACAATTTAAAAAAAAAATTATATACAATCTGCAAATAGTATTTATTAGTAGATTATTGTCTTTTGAGTTGTATGTTTTATCATTGGTTAATCACAGAGTATCAGTAAATAATTTCTCGTGTCACTGAAATATTGAAGCAACAGCAGGAAACTAGGTTGCCGCCTACTTTTGCTTTTTTTTTTTGGGGGGGGGGGAGAGGGGGAGTGAAGACTAAATGTAACAGGAGGTAGGATAAAAGGGAAGGAAGGAGAGACAAAGTAAGGACAACGGAGGAGAAAGACGAGGAGGGTTTACGGGACTAAAGTATAAAGAGTCAAGAGGGAGGGGGCAGGAGGAGGATGGGCAAGAGAGGGTGAAGGAACAGGGATCAGGAGGAGGTAGTACAGGGGTGGAGGAGGAGGAGGAGAAAAGGG